ATATATATATTTTTTTTTTTTTTCCGACTAATAAATCTTAAAAGCGAATATACAATATCATTCTTCCTTAGTTTTTCCAATCTATTAGCCTATCATTGGTTCACAAGAAAAAAATGCTCCACTTTTAGGCATGTGTTGCTAGTCATGAGAGTAGTAACGGATTTGATCTTCCCACAAAGTTCCAATACGTAACCAAGCATGACGACAAAACCAAGTTCGCGACACATGGACGGGAAATGCAGAAAAAGTAGATTGGGGGCAAAACACACAAAAAAAATCAATTAAAAAGCGCAAATATATCATAAAAGAAAGTTCAGGGGCTGTTTTTGAAGAACTAAATTCAAGGAGGCCTTTATTTCATTTTTTTGGTGTGTGTTCAGTTTTCACTGAACAGGCATTTTCATCTTTACTACGAGTAATCGCGTTAGATCCCGAGTTGATTGAATTTCTAAAAATAGGAAAGAAAAACCACCGACGCGGGGGAAGAGATTATTAGTCTCCATCTTCAGCTCCCAGCTTCAGATCTCATTAATCAACTCCACTCTCACATTCCTACACAACACAAAATCCACATTACCAATTATTCCACACGTTTAATTGAACTCAATCTTCATTCCCAATTGTATATGTAGTTATACAGATTCAGAGCAGAACAGCTTTGTGCTTTCACATTAGCATTTAGATCCGTGGTAGAGATCTGAAAAAATGGCGGTAGCAGTCCGGGGAGGCCGTGGCGGCGGATCGGCACTTCGGAATTTCTTCTCATACCGAATCTTCGTGTCCGCTATGTTTACTTTACTGTTTCTCGCCACTCTCTCTGTCCTCTTCTCCTCTCACCACGATTCTGTACGTTTTCTATCTCCTCCTCACTCTCCGCTTTATTACTTCAAAAATTTCAAACTTTACCTTATTTGCTTATTGCATATTGTTTGCGAATGTACTAAATGCTTCTCTCTACGAGCTTGAAGCTTAAATCTTTTTCCTTGGCATTGAGATGCTCCGAATATTGTATGTTTCTATGTGCTTGCACCTGCATGGTAATAAAAGGTAGCTAAGTATCTTCTATCTATATACTATTTAGCGAAAGTAATTGTAGATTACTGACCGAAAAAGAAAGTAATTATAGATCACTGATTGAATAAAGAAAGTAATTGTAGATTACTGATTGAAAAGGAAAAATTGTAGATTACTGATCGAAAAAGAAAGTAATTGTAGGTACTGATAGAAAAAGAAAGTAATTGCACTTCAAGATTGGAGTGGAAACAGCTGATTTTTTTGTGTCTTAAAGCAAAATATCTATATAGCAAGTGCAACTTGTTGGATAAATGTATAATTATTGCTGGTACACTTGCATTAGGTTCAATATTTGACAGGAGCCCTTTTCCATTTGGTTGAGGATTGAATGTCATCAGAAGAATAAGTTGTAAAGTTTAGAAAATTCCTAGTCTTAGGAACCCCTAATTTGTCTGAAAAGACAGTATTGGAATTGAGGTATAGTTTCTATTATTGTAAAACTGGATTTTAGTTTTTTGATGTGGTCTCACTTCTTTCTCATAATTGTTCATTCTCCATGGATATGGCATGCTTTATATCTTCCGTACATAATGTGTTACCTCAGTTTCAATTTAGGAAATATTAAGCTAAACTGAAGTAAGTAGATGGAGAAGTATCCATTTTTTTTTTAGTTTTGGTCAAGGTTACATTGAAAGTCATTGAAAGTGACTAACATTTGATCATGTGAAACAGACTACTGGGAATGCATACATGCATCGGTCATTTGTGGCATTGAGTTCAGATCCATTGAAGACTAGGTTAGATTTAATACATAAACAAGCAAATGATCATATAGCACTTGTGAATGCCTATGCTGCTTATGCAAGGAAGCTGAAGCTGGACATTTCTAAGCAGCTTAAGATGTTTGAAGATTTGGCCCAGAATTTTTCCGATCTTCAATCAAAGCCAAATTACCGTGCAAATCTTTTTGATACTGATGGACCCCTGGATGATGACTCTTTGAAACAGTTTGAGAAGGAAGTTAAGGATAAGGTCAAGTTTGCCAGGTTATTGATTGCTGACTCAAAAGAGTCTTATGATAATCAATTGAAAATACAGAAGCTGAAGGACACAATATTTGCTGTTAATGAGTTGTTTGTGAAGGCAAAGAAGAATGGAGCTTTTGCCAGCTTAATTGCTGCTAAATCAACTCCAAAGAGTTTACATTGTCTTGCTATGCGGCTTATGGAGGAGAGAATCTCACATCCTGAAAAATATAGGGATGAGGATCCGGAGCCTGAATTTGAGGATCCTACTCTGTATCACTATGCCATATTTTCAGATAATGTAATTGCAGTATCCGTAGTTGTGAATTCAGCGATAAAGAATGCGGAGGAGCCATGGAAACACGTTTTCCATGTTGTTACTGACAAGATGAATCTAGCTGCAATGAAGGTGTGGTTTAAGATGAGGCCTATTCGGCAAGCTCACATAGAAATCAAATCTGTGGAGGATTTTACATTCTTAACTTCGTCCTATGTTCCAGTGCTCAAGCAACTTGAGTCCACAAAGCTTCAGAACTTTTACTTCCAAAACAGTGCAGAGAATGCTACGAAGGATGTGAACAACATGAAATTTAAGAATCCAAAGTACTTGTCGATGTTAAATCACTTAAGATTTTATTTGCCGGAGATGTATCCAAAACTTCACCGTATTTTGTTTCTGGATGATGATGTTGTGGTTCAGAAGGATTTGACTGCATTGTGGACAATTGATTTGGATGGCAAGGTCAATGGGGCAGTTGAGACCTGCTTTGGATCTTTTCATCGCTATGCTCAGTATTTGAATTTTTCTCACCCTCTTGTTAGGGAAAAGTTCACCCCTAAGGCATGTGCCTGGGCATTTGGAATGAATATATTTGATCTTGATGCCTGGAGGCGTGAACAATGCACTGAGCAGTATCACTACTGGCAGAATTTGGTGAGTTGTTTTATGCTGTACTTTTTATCTTTTTATGTTGATTTTCTTGGTCCAATTAATTATAGCTTAGAAAACAATAGGCGGAATTAGAGAATCTGATTCAACCTAGACTTCTTTTCTTTTTCCATGTATCCCTATTATGATATTCGTTCTTATCAATTATTTCTTTTAATTAGAATGAGGATCGGACGTTGTGGAAATTGGGAACTCTTCCAGCTGGGCTGATGACCTTCTACTCGAAAACCAAATCATTGGATAAATCGTGGCATGTACTTGGCCTTGGGTACAATCCAAGTGTAAGCATGGATGAAATCCACAAGGCTGCTGTGATTCACTATAATGGAGATATGAAGCCTTGGCTGGACATAGCCTTGAACCAGTACAAGGAGCTATGGACTAAATATATTGATTCTGAAATGGAATTTGTGCAGATGTGCAATTTTGGCGTGTAGAGAAGCACACTGTTACGCCTCAGCAACAATGAGGTAACAGCAACTAAATCACACTCATTGTTCATCTGAATACTTGAAAAAATATTTTCTTCCAGAGCGAAGCTCAGGCTGTTGATCCTGTCTACAGTGTTTCCCAAATTTGTTGTCTTGTTAGTTATTGTAACTTTAAAAAGTTGAAATTAAACGCTCTGCTTGTGTAGACAGTGAAGTAATTCTTTTGTAATGGATTTTTAGCACGGACGATGGGTTTGGCGACTAATTAAGAGATTCCTGATACCATTAATGCACTTGTATAAAACTGTTACCAGTTTCCTTTTACTGGCTCAAGTATGCTATGAAGACAGCAATAAATGAGTTGCTTTTGACAAGTGGATTGCAAATGGGAAGCTGGGATAGGATTGCAGCTCTTATTTCTTAGACTCAACGACCAAAATGTTCTTAATTTCTCAAGTACTTCGAAACAGTGTATATTTACGAGTTATGCAGGTTGGGCAATAGATAAATGAGCTAGCTTTACGTTACCTTTTTATCCTTTTTCTTTTTTCTATAATGCATCTAATAAGAGAGTAATGGCACTATTAGCTCTCTTGGCATTTTGCACCTCCCTATATCATTCCTTTTCGCATTTATCAAAAAAGAATGTTCCATGTGCTGCTTACAAGGGTTCCTCTTACTGTATGCCTTCATCTTCCCAAATGTTTGCAGTCACTATAAGTTTGTAATTCCCGCTTCTTACTTGTTCATCTCCTTCTCTGCTCAACTGTGTGTTCCCTTCAATCTGATCTCAATCTATAGTTGGGTCGTCGTGTCACAATTAGCATATATAAGGTTGTAGTTTAAAATGTTGGGGAGTGTCAATTATAACGTTTAATGAGATTTTGAATTTTTTTTAATTCTAATCTCAATTAATGGCAGAAAAAAAACTAATTGATTTGTTATGAGTGCTTTGGAGTTCTTATTCATATGCAATAGTTCTTCTATTTTCACAATTATACCTTTGCCGATGAAAAAATACATCTATTTTCACAATTCATATGATTGATAACAAAATGCATAATCTTAGTAATTTTATCCCTTCCCATTACTAAATTCTCGTAATAGGCAATACGAGCATTCTCTTATTCAGCCGTGTTATTTCTATTTCATGTATATGTTTTTTCTAATGGATTTCTATCTCATATATATATGAAGGTTAATCTGTATTGGCAGACTATTAACCATAATGTTGCATGTATCTCCTTTCAAATAGTAAAAAAGGTAAGAGGAATTGTTTGTAATCATGCAAGACACTATTAGATGCCATGACATCCTTTATTTTAAATAATGTCTCTTGGCTACTTAGCATGATGCAAATCTGTAGCAAGTACGAGGAGAAAATGGTTTGTCTAAACTACTGAGCATAAAGGCTCCAAAATTATGGTGGGAAGTCTACCACTGCAATTCGGCTGTAGGGAAGCCGAAAAATCTTTATGTTGCAAGATATCAAGTTTGCCCTTGCTAAATGGGTGTGTATTTGCACAATGACTGAAGATAAAAAAATTTTAAGTTCAGCAAAGGTAGTATAGATCAGGTGTTGAAAAGCAGAACAAAGGATACGGTACAAAATGCTAAGGAAAATTTGAACTGTTTACTAATTGTATAGTGCCATATGTCAGCCATTCTTTTAGGTATGCAACAATGGGGATGTCAATCTAAAAGGATCATATCAGAAAATTTTCAAGGTGTAAAGATGTAATTGAGGATCATATCAGCTAAGATCAGTTCATACTACTAGGTGAATAGCCCCCTTTGAACACCTCATATCCCAACAAAAGGGCGAATATAAAATGATGTTGTAGTACTTTATTGGAAAATATATAATTATCTATTCAAATATATGCGTCTTATTTGAGTCTTACATCTTGTTATTGCTAGTGTTAGTAAAGCACCCATAGTTAGTGTACTATACAACGTATAGTAGTAATTAGAATATCCTGAGAACATTAGAGCACCTTAGGAAACATGAAAGAGTAGGCTATAGGAAAGAGTAGTGTCGGGGAATGAGGAACGTCAAATGTGTGCCACTATTGTACATTCGCAGTGTGCCTTTCTTTTTCAAAAGTATTCAGAACCTATATTCTTTGATAAGGTAAGTAAATGAAAAGTATTCAGGACTCATTCCTTAAACTAGTAAAGTGGGATCCATCTGAGTCACTATAACATGATTGATCATAAGCTTCGAGCCGCTGCGTCCAAATACTTTAGGGTAAAGCATATTCTTGACACTTTTCAATCACTAGTTTGACATCTCTTAATTAATAAGTTCTTCTTTAGACATGACATCTGCAGGAAGGCATCTACCCAACTTTCCACGGCCATTTGCAGTTCGCATTTACCGGGCAACTTTTTCTCATATTATCATTTGTCGTTTCTCTTGACCAGTTAATGACTAAGTAACAAAATAACACTTGAAAACATAGTAGTAATAGTTTCTTTTCTTTAAAAATGACACTGATTCTAATTCAATTTCAATAGTAGTGAACTCATGAGGCACAGATTATCCAAGACTATATAACACTCCCGATCATAATCAATGTGAGACATTCTAACATCCTCTTTGCTTCTCCTATACACCAAAGATTGGACATTTGGGGCATGAAAACATAAAATGGGGTTCAACATTGCAAACATGACAACGTGGATGAGTCTTACTCGAATATTAGTGTATGAGTAAAGAAAATATACTTTGGGTCTAACTCAATCCCAAAAACTTGTTCATGAGGTGATAACTGTTCAACATCAGGCTAGAAAACACATTCTCTCAACCAATTTAGAACTCCTTAAACAAAATTATGATACTTTCATTGTTCTCTTTATTTGTTTCTTTTGTTGCTCCTACAACTTTATTACAGTAGTAATTTTTCCAACAGTTTGGAGACACCATGAGGGATATATGGAAAGAAAATGGGAGAGGGGGCTAGAGTCTCATCCGAGTATGTGTCCTGCTAGTATAAACTGTAACATAAACTACAAGGCTTTCTAGCCATATTTCCCATCATTCTGGAATTGTATGCAATCTATCTACCATAGTCTGATAATAGCTTAGTATAATACTATTAGACAAGCAAGAACTAAAAATAAATTTATTATAGAAGTTCAAGCAAGAGATGGAGTGGCCAAGTAGCTAGGCTTGTCATCACCGGCCATGATGACAACAATCTTTGGTTTCATTACAATGATGTCAATCTGGTTATTAACATTTCCGGGCATTAGCGTTCCATTGTTTCCATAGTTTTCCTCCATGATCTCTCCCCTTGTCATTGGCGATGAGATACGCCATTTCTTCCTGCAATGTGCACAGGCAAGGATGACAAGTGCTATAGAAATGAGTAGAAATATAAAGGCTAAGCCTCCAAAAAGATAAGGGACTGTAGAATTCCATCTCCAGACTGAGCAAGAATATGGGCTATTACAATTTGAAAGCCTCATTTTTATGATCTCTGTGTGTTTTAATTCTAAGTTTGGAATTATGGTGTAGCGTCATGGTGTTGGGAATTTACCAGCTCCTTTTAAAGGTGAGAATTGTGAGTGCTAAGAAGGAAGATTCTAAAATGTGCCCTTTAGATTCTTATGAAAAGTTGTGAGAAAATCAAAGTGATACTATAATTTAAGAGTCCACTGAAAATAGTGAAAGTGAATTAAGGCACTTATAGTTCCGATGTGTGCTTTGTCTTTGTCACAGTTCATAAAGTTTCTGATTGTGAGTTAAATTACTAGAGCGCCGTGAGGTTTATGTTATAAATGTATGATATAGCACGAGTTGTATGGTATATAGTTTTACCAAGATAGAATTGTGTTAAAAGACGGATTCAAGATTTAAAGATCATGTATTACATTATTACATATATATGTATATAATATGCTTATAATAATAGCATAGATTATGTGCTCTTTAAAAGACTTGTATTTTTATGTGAAATTTGAAAGTTCTATTTATAAAATAAAAGGCATCAGCCTTGATTTTTTTTAATGAATTGTCTTACTTAGTTACTTTATAGCTTGAGATTATATTAAATAAATTTCAAGTCTATTGTAATTACTAAATATTTCGTTACAAGTCTTTTGTTTTAATATTTCATAATTCTTCTCTTATTTTCTTTATAATTTATTAAATTTTAAGTTTATTAAATAAGTCAAAAAACTAGCCATTGCAAACTTTAAAAACTAACTCATTGTCAACTTTAAAAAAAATAACGGTTGCTATCTATAAAAAAATTAGCCGTCGCCAAATTTAATGCTTAAATATTTAAAAGTTTTTTTTAAAAAAAAAGGCCCACTTAAAGCCACATCCCGTCCCGTCCCATCCCCTTTGTTAGTGGAATGAGATGGGCCTACGGGGTCGTCCCCTTTATCCCGTCGTAGAAATGGCATGGTGTAGCCACTATTTAAGGTGGTATTTATTTTTTATCCAGCAATTCTAATGTTGAGCAAAAATAGCCACTGCCCTATTAAAATTAATATGAAAAGATATTTTTACCCTTTCTTCCCTTGCTTTTCTTCCCAAACCCTTGCTTCTCTCTCTCCATGCCTTCTCCATAACTGTTGCATTATGTTGAGGTGGCGGAGCCTATCTACACAGTCATTCTAATGCACATCGCTTGTAAGCATTCATTAAAAGACAAAAGCTCTTTAACAGAACTTTTCAATATTCATGGTTCAAAAGTTAGTAACAGAACTTTGTAAGTAGGGTGTAGACCTTCTGCTCTCCTTGCATGGTTCAGTTGGAAAGCACAAAATAAAAGAAACAAAAATAATGATTTCAATTCATAGCCAAAGAATAATGTCGCAGACTCTCCCAAATTTAAATCTTTTAACTTTGATTTTTAAGTTCAAAAGTTAAGGACAGACATCAGTTACAAGTTCAAAACTTAAGGACAATAGGTCCTTAACTTTGATTTCCAAGTTCTAAAGTTAAGGCCAGGCAGTCCTTAACTTTGAGTTTCAGTTTCAAAAGTTAAGGACATGCAGTCCTTAACTTATAGTTTCAAGTTCAAAACTTAGGGCATGCAGTCCTTAAGTTATTGTTTCAAGTTCAAAACTTAAGGACATGCCGTCCTTAAGTTATTGTTTCAAGTTCAAAACTTAAGGATATGCAGTCCTTAACTTTGAGTTTAAAGTTCAAAAGTTAAGGACAGACAGTCCTTAACTTACAGTTACACGTTCAAAAGTTAAGGACAAGCAGTACTTAGCTTACGGTTACAAGTTCAAAAGTTAAGGACAATAGGTCCTTAACTTTGACTTACAAGTTCAAAAGTTAAGGACGCTTGGTCTTGAAGTTTGAGTTCCAAGTTCAAAACTTAAGGACATGTAACCTTGAAGTCCTGAACTTAGAGTTCCAAGTTCAAAAGTTAAGGATATGTAGTCCTGAAGTCCTGAACTTAGAGTTTCAAGTTCAAAAGTTAAGGACATGTAGTCCTGAAGTCCCGAAGTTAAGGACATGAGCAGAAGGGTATTTTTGTCCGAGCAGTTAAAGTTTATTAAACCAGTTGCTAAAGACTAAAGACATTTAAAACGCTGGATTTAAAATAAAGACATAAGCTGTTAGTGGCTATCTGTGCACATCGCCCTATCCCGTCTCGTTTAAGGCCCATCCCGCCACTGTCCCAATCAAATTCCGTCCCGTCCCGTCCCGTTGGACAGCCCACAGCCACAGGAACCAAGAGTTTTCAGAATTTTTCTTTTTAGCGGTCTTTTTCAAAATGGTAAACTCAACCTTAATTATTTTTTCCACTCATCAAGGTTCCCCGTTAGAACCTTTAATCCATTAACACTTTCCACTTCTTAACAAATTGTCCAACCTTTACTCTTCATGTAAACACCCACTAATGTGTTTTTTTTTCTTTTTTGTTGCTAGAATGGCCGCAATACTTTCTGATTTCATTTTTTGGTCCACTACATCATTAATTCTAGTTTAGAATTGAGACATAATTGTTAGGTTGTAGTTTTACAGATTTAGTCCATTACTGGATTCACTTTCTAACAAAAATAGTCTCATGTGTTAAATATTTCTTCAGAACCCAACAATTTCTTCCATTAAGTTAATCAATCTATTGTTAGGTTTAGTGGATGTAGTTGACAAAATTCATAAGTATGTTAATGCAAGTGTTTGACCAATTAGTTGAAAGGTAGTTCTGGCAGTAAAGATTTATATTTCTTAATTTAGAAAGAAAAAAGAACGAAAGAAGTGGAAGAACACATTTAACCCGAAAACATCACTTAATTTAACGAATCGTATTATTGATTCAAGTGGACAAATTAATTACGTAGTTAATAAGTTCTTCCACGCACTTTCACATCCACAAATACTTTTCACCCAGAAGACACAAAAACATATTAAATTTTTGGAAATTTTACACCCTATAGAAAAGTTAGTACCCTATTTATTTTAAATAAATACCATTTTAAAATATTATATTATATATCTACCTTTTACCCTTTATAGCAAAATATCTAATTATAGTTAAATCCTACACTTAAGGCACCATATATGCTAAATATTATTTTTCTCTCTCCTTTTTCGAATTTTCTCACATAATCACCGTAAAATCTGTATCAAAATCGAACCTCGTTCTCTCTCTCTCTCTCTCTCTGTTTTGCATACACTTTACTCTCTTCTCCCACAAACCCACGATTCAGACTTCTTCTCCCACCCAAATTCCCTAGGTTTCCCCCATTATCACTCCCCAGTTATTTTCTCTCTAAAATCACGGTTTTATTCCTGATACAAGTTCTTGGGGTAAGTATTTAGCTTCTAAGATTTTGATACAATTATTTAGTTTCTTCGATTTTGATACAGATTTTTCTTTGCTTCTTAAACAATAATCATTGTTATTATTTACTCATCAGAAAGCTTTCGATTTTCTCTCCAACGTCGGATTCAACGTCATACAAGATGGTAACAAGAGGTATACCCACCAAAATTCTCAATTTTGATGGGCCCTCTTTGTCGTTGCAAATAACTCAAGCGGAGTCATAATTTGCAGGTGTATCAGCAACTACAGCTTTAGAGAGAAGAACTAAATTTCTCAATGACAAATCGAAAGAAGTCCCAATTGAGAAATCTTCAAAAGAAACAAAAAGTCCAGTGGCGACAAAGAGGAAAAAAACTTTGAATGATTCTTCATGTGTCAAGGTTAAGGAAGTTGATGCAAAAAAAATATCGGATACACGGCACGAAAAGGTAATTGTTATTGTATCAATATTCACCCAAAGTTGCTGATGTGCTTTAGGGGTACATTGATGTGTTCATAATTATTCATGTGATTTTATATGTATGATGATGTATCCGTATGTATTCATGTATTCATAAGCATTAAAACAATCCAGAACTCATTTGCACATTTACAATGTCATTAACTGAGTTGTGCTTACTTGAATATTATATGTTGTATTTAAATATATTTAGATGTATTCTAGTTTACATTCGCTGTATTTCCGTACTTATTACAGTTTTCCTTGCTTGTTATATGTATATATTCACTGTTTTGTACTAAATGGTATTAATATGTATTTCAATATTTAACTGTATCTTGTTGTATTTATATGTATTCATAACACTTAATGAGTTTATATTCACTGTATTTCCGTACTTATTACAGTTTTTACTTGCCTTGTTATATGTATATATTCACTGTTTTGTACTAAATGGTATTAATATGTATTTCAATATTTAACTGTATCTTGTTGTATTTGTATGTATTCATAACACTTAATGAGTTTATATATTGATGATGAATATGAACCTTTTTAAAATCTTGTTTGTATGCAGGAATTAAACTGTTGTGAAACACCGCCANGTGTGAGGTACATCATCAGCTCTTCAGGTGCTTCATGGTTAATCAGTTAGAAGGAAGTACTGATGACGTATTTTTAATACACCTAAATGGTACAACAATTTCCTTCTCAATCAGAGAGTTTGCCCTCGTCACTGGTCTCAAATGTGTTGGTGATCCACGTGAATTTAAGTTCAACACAGAGGTGCCCAACTGTATTGTTCAGACATACTTTGGCGGTTCAAAGCTAGTTAAAAAGGAAGCTTTGTTGTCATGCTTTGATGAAAAGAAATGGGGTGATGGCAACGATGGGGATGCCATCAAGATAGCATTGTTATATCTCAAACACACATGGATATTCTCATCAGAGAAGAAAACCACAACCATCCCACGACTACATTTTGACTTAGTCGAGAGTGGGAGATACTTTGATTATCCATGGGGTACTTTTGCATTCAGCAGCCTTATTACATCTATTAGTAAGAAAATGAATTATCACAAGAAGTACTATAGGATTGCTGGTATGCCTCTCGCAATGCAAGTTTGGTTTATGAGTGCTGTTCAAAGGTTGACCCCAAAATTGCAAAGCGCCTTGGTAATCGGGTACCCAGATTGCTCAATTGGAGAACCACTATCAATCAACCGACTTATGCTTAT